ATACTGTGTTTTTGGATCAGAAATAATAATAATAATAATAATAATAATAATAATAATAATAATAATAATTTTATAGCTTTCTGGAATGCAGTGCTTTTGACTTTTCTGGGTTTGATTTTTTTGCAGATTTGATTGCAAATGCTCTCTCTGGGAATCTATAGTTTTCCAATGCACTTCTGTGATCAGTTTCCAGCAGAAATTGACCAGAATCATGCTAGAACGTCTAGAAATAGAGGTGTTCTTCATTCACAATTTTTCACTTCCACTGATGCTCCTAACTCCTGCAGATGTGGAGGGATAACTAGTAGGAATGCCTGACATCTCTCATTGAAAACAACAGGCCAGCATTGACCGAAGAGAGAAAAATGGTGTAATGATTCCGATAGAAGGACTTATAGAGGTGACAAAAGCAGCTAAAAGAAGTAAACTGGGGCATCTGTTGCATGCCAATTTGTTAAGTGTTTCTTTGTCACTGTTCAGGGTTTCTTGTATAGAATTTGCAGTAGCGTTTTTGAAGGAAAAGGGGATAATACTACGCTGAGGATCCAACAAGGTTTTTTTTTTTTGCTCCCAAAAAAAACAAAACGTATCTGCTTTCCATGTCTTGTATGACAGGTGAACATCCATTGAGCTGTCTTCTCTATCCCTCCCCCATTGAACAAACAGCAATTGGGTTTAAAGTCTGAGCAAGCTAACAGATAGGGACAGTGAAGGTGGCTATAAAAGCAAAGCCTCCTTCCATGTAATCCTTTAAGGCGATTTTCTTTTCCTCCTGGCATGGCTCTGCCCCGAAACGGTTTCAGTTTTCACTGTGGAGGAAAAGGTGTGGTAAGAAGAATATGCTGTCCAAAGTTTACTTAATTGACGTGTCCTGAGGCTGAGCTTACACTGATTCCTAAAGTGTGTGGCTACTATGAGAAACCCTCAGTTTAAACTATTGTTAGAGACAGTAGAGGTTTGAGCATTGCGCTGTGGCTGGAGACCAGGATTTGAATCCCATTTTGCTCAGCCGTGAAATGGCAAATGGGAATGTTAAAGGCAAAAGGTCCCTAAGAGCAAAAGTAAAACAGTTATATAATTGCAATAATGTATATTATGTCTTTGCTTAATTGCTACAACATTCAATATATAGGCATCTAATACAAATTATACTACATACAATTCTCTAAACCCAAAACTATTTTTCTTATGTGGTATAAACAACCAATTCTTACAGTAAAATGTACAGCTGCTTTAAGGTTCTTTTGAAAATAAATTTATCAATAACAATACAAAGTTTGTAAACCTTTTTACAAGTCTCTTAATCCAGAGCTTCTTAATGTAGGTCAGTGGTTCTCAACCTAGGGTTCCCAGATGTTTTTGGCCTACAACTCCCAGAAATCCTAACAGCTGGTAAACTAGCTGGGATTTCTGGGAGTTGTAGGCCAAAAACATCTGGGGACCCCAGGTTGAGAACCACTGATGTAGGTGCACCGCTGATTCCTACAGTTGAATATATCCGTTTGTAGACCATATTTTGCTAAAGTTTTTTCACAGCAACAAACAGTTTATCAGTCCTTTTTCAAAATCCACAGTTTGTCAACCACAACTGGTTTCGACTACATGCAGTCTTCTTCAGGTGGTAGTAGAAATCCAAAATAGTAAGTTTTGTAAAGTGGACAATTCTTCAAGTAAAGTCAACATATGAAGGTAAACAATTATGAGGACTTAAAGGGAACACATTCGGTGGCTAAACATAGTAAGGAAACCAATTATCAAAAGTAAAAATAAACATTCAAAACTAGAATCAAAATACTCACATAGGTTCTCCTACAAAGGTGCTCTGCTTTTTAGTATATTTCTGTGGCAAGCACACGGGAAGCAGATGGAGATTCCAGTATATAAAGAGAAACTAATAGTGTATGAAGAGAATTTTAAAGGGGCCCCTATAGCTGTCAGTGTGGGTGAGTTCCAGTTTGCAATAGTAAGTTACTAAAAAGAGAAACTTGTTTTAAGAGGCATGTGCTTGCTCACATGAAACACTGAAATAAAACAGAATCATTCAGACCCTTAGGATATACAGTTTCAAGAGTGAAAATCCAAAAGGCTTTATGTTGTAGTAGTCTAGGAGATAAATCTATATTTATGGAGGATGTAACCACCTCTAAAACTAGGACCCTAAGTGATTCTGGACTATGTTTCATGTCATTGAAATGTTTGTATAGGCTTGAATCGACAGCCTGATTTCTAATTTTGCTTTTGCATTTGATTATACGGAGTTTAATTTGTCTGTTGGTTTGTCCAACATACATCAAGGAGCAGGGACAAAAGATGATGTAAATGACACCAGTAGTTGTGCATGTAGCAAAATGACGCAGTTGATTGTTACAAACACTTAAATGGGAATGTTTCAATTGGCCACCTTGATTAGCATTGAATGGCCTTGCAGATTCAAAGCCTGGCTACTTCACACTTGGCTCCAGCAGACAATAATAATAATAATAATAATAATAATAATAATAATAATAATAATAATACTTTTATCTCCCCGGGGGGGACTCAGGGTGGTTCCAAGCAACAACATCAAAAGATACAGAGTCACAACATGAACAACAAAAAATAATAATAACAGTAACAGCAACATAAGCATGGAATTACCCACCAACACATACATATTAAAAGGAAAAATCCTGCCTGCTCTTCATGTCTATTTGTTAGGGCATGGTAAAGGAATGGGTCAAGACAATTAAAAAGGCTGGGTCAAGACTGATACAAATCAAAATAAGATGGGACTGACATTTGGGTACAGTACTGTAATAGGTAAACGGCAAAAGCGGGGACGGGCTATTTCCAGGGGCCTGTTAGGAGAATGACCAGGGTAATATATAGCGGGCTAGGTCGTGTCCAGACAGTGTCTAGGCTGAGCTAGCACTGGTCACTCTTGAAGATTTGTTGAAACCACTGAGTCTTCAAACTCTTAAGAAAAGAGGTGAGGGATGGAGCCTGTCTTATTTCCCTTGGAAGGGTTCCAGAGGTGGGGGGCCACCACCGAGAAGGCCCTCTCTCTCATCCCCACTCTGCACATTCCACAGATATATAATCCTACTTGTCTGGTTTCCAACAGACCTCACAACCTCTGAGGGTGCCTGCCATAGATGTGGGTGAAACATCAGGAGAGAATGTTTCTGGAACATGGACACACAACCCAGAACTCTTAAAACTGGATCATTTTTGTAGGTCTTCCCTGTTGAAAGATAGGCAAGCAGGGTTATTGGTCTGAAATATGGATAAAACCAGCCCCACTCAGCTAGCTGTAGTATTCAAGAAACATGAAAGCTGCAGCCATGCAATACACTAGTTTGGAGAAGTGGTGCTTTATACAGGGTTAGTCAAAATAAATAGGCCAATAAGAAAATTAATTTTAGACAAATGTATGTTTACTGTAACCAAACCACAGCTACGTAGCGACAGATAAACTATCAAAGTTTTGTCTCACCTTCAGAGATGTTCGATATGGGCGCCCCGTGTGACACGGCAGATGTCCAAGCGATAGTCCAGTTCATTCCACATCCGTTGCAGCACATCCGACGTAATGGCATCGAATGCAGCAACGTCTGGGAAGGTGTTCGTTGAGGTCCTAACCCTATCCCTAATCCTAACCCTAACCCTATCCCTAACCCAACCCTAACCCTATCCCTAACCCTAACCCTAACCCTTGAAATTCTCGCTGGACCGTAATTACTGACATTGTTTTAGCAAATGTCATCACACAAAACGCCTTCTCTTTGCTTGATTCCGCCATTTTGAAAACAGCGACCCCTAGCGGCATTAACGTACATGTGTGTTGCTCAAAAAAAACTTTGATAGTTTATCTGTCGCTACGTAGCTGTGGTTTGGTTACAGTAAACATACATTCGTCTAAAATTAATTTTCTTATTGGCCTATTCATTTTGACTAACCCTGTATTGTGGAAGTAATGGGACTGTGCCGTGAACCATCACGGAGATTAAGATCCTCTGGGGAGGCCCTGCTTTCCGTCCCGCCATTGTCACAGGCGCGATTGGTGGGGACGAGAGACAGGGCCTTCTTGGTGATTGCTCCCCAGCTATGGAACTCCCTTCCTGGTGAGATCAGGTCAGCCCCCTCCCTCCTGTCCTTTAGAAGGATGGTAAAATTTTGGCTGTGGGACCAAGCTTTTGGGACAGGGCAATAAAGCGGCAATAGGAAAGATGACCAGGCCAATTAGATTTGACGCGCATGACTAGGACGGTTTTAAATGGTGTATTTTAATATTTTGATAAATGTTTTTTAATGTTTATGTATGTGTATGTGAATTTGTGTCCTGGCATTGAATGTTTGCCATGCATATGCTGTGCTCCACCCTGAGTCCCCTTCGGGGTGAGAAGGGTGGAATATAAACATTTTAAATAAATGAATAATTGAATATTACCTGCATTTAACACGTAGTGCCTTCCATATTATCCAGACAGTGAGACATCTTTGGAGTTGTTACAGTGGATGTTGTAATGTTGACTGCTTTGAGAAACTATGGAAGGAAAGAGCTTGTAGGTATACAAAAGCATTAGTCTCAATTAGAGTTGACCCGTTGGCTCACTTGCTGAATGGCAGGTCAACATCTATGTACATCTATGTACATCTTAATATTTCTAGCTATTATTTGGATCTGAAACATTTCCAGTGATGGTTTCAGTGATTCCTTTGGAGCAAAAATCTCTCTCTTTTTGGGGACCATATTGATTTGGCCTTCTTACATATTCAAATGCTTTGGGGAGGGTAATATCTCTCGCAGTCCTTTCTATTTCTCAGTCTGTTCTGGAGGACAGTCCACTTTCCATGTGCAGATTCTGAGTGTACGTGAGAGAAGGGAAATAACTCTCTTTCTAGGTTGGTGAGAAGAACCATTAGTTGAACCAGAGGATTCAATTTCATGGAAATGTACAAACATTACCATTTTACTTCATTATAACTGAAAAAAACCTTACATTTTCTTTGTTTTCCAGAAAATGATCAAGGCGAATATATTTCTCCATTCCATGACATTCCGATACATGGAAATGCCAACAAGGTAATATTGAACAACGTGTTGTGATGTCCTCAGCCCAGTCTTGCAAGTTAGAAAAATGGCTTAGTTACTAGATAGTACCTATTTAATTCAACCTAAAAGAAGACAATATTTTTGTATGTATTTTAACAGTTAGACTGTATTCAGTTAGACTGTATTCAGTCTAACTTCTGGTGATACTTAAGAACTAAGAGTAACTTACTACAATGTCATTTAAGTAAAAAAAATTGACTTCATGGTAGGAATAGCCAGAATTCAGCATGCTCATGTGAAATGATTTTTTTCTTAAGCAGGGCTGTGGGGGGGGGGGGGATCCATGCTTACCATAACTGGCTTCTTTAGACCCAGTTTTACATTTGAGCTTTTACTATACAATTATCCTCCTAACTTTTAGCAACCTTCAGCTTACAGTGGGAAAAAACATGGAAGTATTTCATTCCTCTGCGATGTTGGGGCTGATGGGGAAAGTAAAGAAGTTGATTCATTACATTTTACACCCAACTTTTACATTGTTGTGGTATTTAAATTGGTACTAATTTTTTAAAGTTGGTTTTTGTTCCAATAGTAATTTTGGTCTAAATGTGTTTTGACTTCCACTTCTAGCTTAGATTTTTTTTTCAAAACCAGGACAGGCAGTCCCCAAGTTACAAACAAGATAGGTTCTGTAGGTTTGTTAAGTTGAATTTGTTTGTCAGCTGCAACAGTAAACAGTTGGCCATCGTTGCATGAATGATGTCAGGATATACTGGGGAGACTGGTGACTTGAATTCTTTCAGACCAGAATATTAAAGCAAGAGCTGACTTGGAGCAAATATGTGGTCTTCACTCCAGTAAACTAGAGGAGTACAGGATGCTGATTGTTCTCCAGTTCTCATTAGTTATCAATGCTGGAGAAGGAATTTTCTGTATAACATTGGGCTTGATGCTCAATAGGTTACACACCCCTGCCCAGAAGCCAGGTTTCATTGGACTGAACACATTGAATTCAAAGTGGGACATTGCTTTTATCTAGCTCTTATTCTAACATTAGTATGAATTCAGCTAATAGCTTGTGGCAGGTTTTTTTTCGTGTCAGGAGCAACTTGAGAAACTGCAAGTCGCTTCTGGTGTGAGAGAATTGGCTGTCTGCAAGGATGTTGCTCAGGGGATGCCAGGATGTTTTACCATCCTGTGGGAGTCTTCTCTCATGTCACTGCACGGGAAGCTGGAGCTAACAGAAAGGAGCTCACCCCGCTCCCTGAATTCAAACTGCCGACCTTTCAGTCAGCAGTCCTTTCAGCACAAGGGTTTAACCCATTGCACCACTTGGGCCACCAAGTGGTGCAATGAAGTATAGATAAAATAATGTTAATTTGTCTTCAGAACAAAGAGATTAGTAATATAAAGGCATGAGATGTGTGTTTTTTTAAAAAATGAATCAGAATATGGTCAAGACTTCAGAAAGCAAGGCACCATTGCAAGGAGTTGATCCAAAATGATAACTGAAAATGTAACTAGTGTTGGGTGGAAAGTAAATATGAAAAATTTGTACTTGGCTACATATACATTGATCAATGTATCTGCGGAGCAACTGAAAACACTATTATGAGGGGCTGTGGGGCGTAACATTCCACAAAACTGAATACGTAATGCCACACCACATATGTAGTTTTCTGTCACCACTTTAATACCTGGGGCGTACTCTTTTTCTGTCCTGTTACAAGTGCCTTCCTTCTTGACTCAGTGAGGGGAAAAAGAATTTCCTTTCTAAATCCCTTTACCGCCTTGTACTGCTGCAGTTTCCTTTTTAAATTGGCTGGGGCTTTCTTGTGAGTTGTTAAACCTTTGTGCTTTATATCACATGCTTGAGACACTCCGGTAAGCAACAAAGTAACAGAGTTTATTTATAGCTTCTGGTTCCAATGCTTTATGGTTACATTTGTGTTTTGTTAGTCTCGAGTCTTACATTCAGTATCATTCACTCAGTTGACTTTTCTTATGAAACCCTCACTATCTCACATCAGCAAATATGTTACTTTCTTCATATACCCTTGGCTGAACTATTTTCTGACTTAGGCCACACTGACGCCATCTTATTTTTCCTTAAACCTTGAGCTCTATTTTCCCAACTGCTTCTCTCTGAGTTTTCTAACTGCTCCCCACTTCTCTTTTTTAACTGACAAACTCTAACTGCTTCTTTCAAACTTGACTCTGCCTCTTTAGAATGTTCAGTTCTGTAACTGCCATTCTGGCTCAGCGGCCTTTTCAAATCCTGGCATACTCTCATCTGCATACGACCAATTGGCTTCACATATGCAAATTAATCCTGCCTTCACTGTTGCTATCCTATTTGAGCCAATTCTTCCCTATCAGCCATATTGTAACCTAGAGCTACACACCAAAAATACAACATAGATCATAAAATTCACTACAGGGGCACCACAGTTTAACAAATTTCTTTTGAAATCAGATTTGGGTGTATCTTTTGATTATAGTGTCCTCTGTTTAAAATGATATGGTTGTGTTATAAAATGTTCAAATATAGCTTTCATCTTAAGCAGAAAACAATGGCGTTAAGGTCTGTAGGATTAAACCTGTATGGTGAAGATCCTTTTTTGGAGGTGAACCTCTACTGGCTTATCCTAACGGCACATGCAAAGATTTTGTGATCCTGGGAACTATCCAATGCAGATTGTCAGACTTCACTTCTCTTTGTTTTTATTGCAGGGAAACTTCATCTCATGGGTGCTACGCAGCTTCAGTGACAGCACAGTTAGGGAGTCCAGTTCATTTCATTTATATCTTAATTAACCCACCTTTCTCCTGGCGTTGCCAGAGTTTAGGGCAAAAGGTTACATTGACCAGTCTTGTTCCTAGCTCTTGCTCCTAATCCTGGTATTTTTAAGATCTTAAGAGGATTGTAAAGTATCTCACAGTCTGGGGTTGGAGATATTCTCAGTTTATCAAGACCTGGCCTCTGCTCTTATTGTCTTCTAAATGTGAAATATGTCAGACTAATTTACCTTTCTTTACATAAAGAAATGAACTTGGTGTTTTGTATATTCATTAGAACAGATATAGTCATACAGAAAGTAATATGAGAAGAATATTAACAAGCAATTTTTCCTTCCTTCTCAAAATTTGGTACTTATTTTATATATTAGTAGTGTTCTAAAATAGCTTTATATCTCAGTTTAAGCATAAACTATCTGTTAAAGGCCATCTTTTGTATTTTTTTAAAGTAATGATCATCCCTACTCCACCCCACTAGATCACCTAATTGAAAGCATTGCTTCCACCATTTACTGTTTTTGCAGGGAGATATTCAACTTGAATGTAAAGTTCTCTGCTACTTCCCCTTCTTTAAGGTCTATTATCCAAAGGATTACAAAAGATAACCATTGCTTACCAAGTAGGAAAATTATAAACTGTATAAGTTCATTACACAGATGTTCGCTTCTAATTTTGTCGTGTTGTGCTCTATAGAATTAAGTATATACCTTTCTGGTTTCTTATTCTTTTCAGGACGTATTCAACATGGTTGTGGAAATACCTCGATGGACTAATGCTAAGATGGAGGTAATTTCTTGATGAGAATTAAAATCTATAGGTTACGGCTTGGATGCCTTAACTTCATCTTTGTCGAAACCAATGTATCAGTTTTGGTTTGGGTTGTCAAGTATAGAAAATAATAATAATAATAATAATAATAATAATAATAATAATAATAATAATAATAATAATTTTCATTTATATTCTGCTCTATCTCCCTGAGGGGATTCAGAGCAGATTACAGACTACATATGTGACAAACAGTCAATGCCATTATACAATTAACAAAGACAGATATTACACAGATAGAGGCAAGGCTTTCCTCTGGAGGCTGTGCTTGACTCAGCCATGGGGAGGCGCTGTTGTTCCATTTTTCCATGTTGAGCTCATTGTCCGTGGACACCTTCCTGATCTAAATTGCCAGCATGTTTTCAGGGGCGCCTTTTACCTCCCCGCAAAGGTGGTACCTGTTTAACTACTCAGATTGCTGTTTTCGAACTGCTAGATAAGCAGATGCTAGGGCTGATGGCAGGAGCTCACCCAGACCCACAGCTTGAACTGCCAACCTTCTGGTTGGCAAGATTTTCTGTAGCTGACGATGTAACTTGCTGTGCTAACCTTGGCCTCTATAAGTGTTCTAAAGCTGTAATTCTGTGGATATTTACTTTGGAGAAGTCAAATCCAGATTGATTTTTTTCTATGGAAATATCAATTTGAAGCATCTCTAAACAAAATAACATTTTAGGGTTGTGTTTTTTTTTACTAAGCTAAATGAATTCTGTTTTTAGATTGCAACCAAAGATCCTCTAAATCCGATTAAACAAGATGTGAAGAAAGGAAAGCTGCGTTACGTTGCTAATGTGTTTCCTCACAAGGGATATATCTGGAATTATGGTGCTATTCCACAGGTATTTTACTATATTCTGCTTTTTTTGCTTGTTTGTTTGTTTCTTATGGATTTTAGAAGCAACAGTCAAGAACACTAAAGAGGAGGAAAAAACATTTGTTTAGAAATAGCATCTATGTTCAACTGTTCACAAATTTTTGGGGTAAAAATGAAAAATGAAAGTACTGCATATGCTGTCAATAAGAAAGCTTCATATGATACAGCCAAAACAGTGGCTTTACGGGACACAACTCATATAATAATAGCATTGTCGTAAAATTATGTAGAATCTTCCTAAAGTTAATGCAGGTTAAAGTGAGCAAAAGATAACTATTGACAAAAATTTAGGTAACATTGTATTTTGGGAATCTAATTTAGCTGTCATCAAAAAAAGAAGAAAAACTTGTCTGTGGAAGCTTTGATGATAGTAGGCATGTATGTTGAAAATAGCAACCTTCTACAAGCCTCCTATACTAGTTATTTCTTATATATATAATGTATATACAGTATATTCTGGCGTATAAGACTACTTTTTAACCCAAGAAAATCTTCTCAAAAGTCAGGGGTCGTCTTATACACGGGTATAGTCTTATGCATGGGAGTTGTCTTAACTCTATATTTTAACTGGAAAAGTTGGGGGTCGTCTTATACGCCCAGTCGTCTTATATGCCGGAATATACGGTAATTCAGATTGCTTACCACATTGTTTATTTTGATACACAGTTTTCCCTTAACTTTATGTTGTTTAGCAAATACTACTTATTTTTGGTCTCTTGAGATCATGGTTTAAAAGCAATATATTTATGGGAGAGTAGATGTTTTTGGGCAACGGAAATAACACTTCTGAAATTCTGCTATATATTTTGTGCGTTGGCATATATTTGTTCCTAACAGTTCAGAGAGATAACCAGGTATATCAGTCTAACAACTGAGAAACCTAATCAGTTGGTGTTGGGATTATTAATCCTGGTTCTTTAGCATTGTCTCCAAACGTGTATTTTAACTCAAAGTCTCTGCCATCACAACACCTTTGTAAAACCTGCTTTTTCCTTGTGCATTTCTCCCAATCATACTCACATCCAAGCTTGTATCCTTTGTAGTCCCAGCTGAGCAGAGACGGACAGTGTGAGAAAAGGACAGGCTGTGATAATGAATATGAAAACGTTATTTGCCAGGTTTTTAATAACCATGCCTTTGACCCGAAAGGAAGTTAGGTCAGTTTCTATTAAAGCAGTCGTAAACTGCAGCTTCCTGCTGGGAAGTATTATCAACACATCCGTATTTCTTTGTAAGAGAAAAAAAATGCCTTTTGTTAAAGAGGCTTAAGGGCTACTCTCTTGGATTTATATTCATGCCGACATGGTTTGGTTTATGCATCAAGAAAAAGTGAATATCAAAATAGGATGAATATTTCCCTACAGGATTCCTATGCAGAAAGACATGCTTTATATATAAGAGATGCATTGGTATCTGGCACAATTGTCACATATATCCGCTAGAAAGACCAGACGATCTCCTTCGGTTCTTTTGCTTTTCAGAGACTTGAGAATAAGCCATAGTCTGACTTGCTGTTAGTAGCTCTAAGGCTACTTATTTCAATATTTATCTTATCTCTATGCAAAGAATAAAGAGCATTTTGTTCTTTTTTAGACTTGGGAAGATCCAGCACATAAAGATGAAAACACTGGCTGTTGTGGAGATAACGATCCAATTGATGTCTGTGAAATTGGAAGCAAGGTAGCAAAATAATTTTTGAGGTAGAATATGTGTGTTGTAATGTTACCCAAGTCTGTGAACTTCACTGCTGTGTGCATTTTATTTTATTTACTTATTTCGAGTATTTTTGCCCCGCCCTTTCAACCCCCTGGGGGAGGGGACTCAAGGTGGCTTCCAGCTGGCAACAATTTGATGCTTCCATATCTACACAATAAAATACAAAACAGAAACAATAATTATATATACTGTATATATTCAAGTATAAGCCTAGTTTTTCAGCCCCTTTTTTAGGCTGAAAAAGCTCTCCTCGGCTTATACTCGAGTCAAGGTTATTTATTATTTTACTCTGTTATTAGTATTATTTTTATTTCATGTATTATTTTACTCTCTTTATTATTATTATTACATTTACAGTATTTTACCCTATTATTATTATTATTATTATTATTATTATTATTACATTTATTATTTTACACTATTTATTATTATTATTACATTTATTATTTTACTTTATTATTATTGCATTTATTATTTTACTCTATTACATTTATTATTCTCTGTTATTACTGTTATTGCATTTCCACTATTTTACTTTATTATTATTATATTTAATATTTTACTCTATTATTGGAAGGATACGTAAGATTACATTGAAGATATGTAATGATTTAACCAGAGTTGGGCAGTCTTATCTCAAATTACAGTTTTATGTAAATATTAAAAAACATTTCACCTCCTGATGCCTCAATTAATTTAATTGTATTGGTATCTATTTTTATTTTGAAATTTACCTGTAGTGGCTGCATTTCCCACCCTCGGCTTATACTCGAGTCAATATGTTTTCCCAGTTTTTTGTGGTAAAATTAGGTGCCTCGACTTATATTCGGGTCTGCTTATACTTGAGTATATATGGTAGTTAAAAACATTAAGTCAATACCATTTAAATCTACCAAAATATACCAGTCTGGTGGCCATTATCTACCCGAATTCTGTAGTTGGAGATTCATCAAGCTTATCCATAGTCCATTACCATAGCAATTGTCATCATAGTCATTATCACATTCCGTATAGTTATCCAAAGGCCTGGTCCCACATCCACGTTTTTAACTTCTTCCTAAAGGTGAGGAGGGATGAAGACAGCCCAATTTCCCCAGGGAGTGAATTCCACAGGTGGGGGGCCACCACCGAGAAGGCCCTGTCCCTCGTCCCCGCCAAGCGTATTTGTGATAGAGACCAGGGCCGAGACCAGGGCCTCCCCAGAAGATCTTAAGCTTTTAGGTGGGACGTAGAAGGAGATACGTTCAGACAGGTACACTGATCCGGAACCGTTTAGGGTTTTATAGGTCAAGACCAGCACATTGAATTGTGCTCGGAACTGGATTGGCAGCCAGTGGAGCTGACATAGCAGGGGGGTGATACGCTCCCTATATGATGCCCCAGTGAGTAGTCTAGCTGCTGCTCATTGGACTAGTTGCAGTTTCCGAACAGTCTTCAAAGGCAACCCCCACGTAGAGGGTGTTGCAGTAATCAGTGTTGTGTAGATTTGGACTTTCTATAATAATATAACAATAAAATAATAAAACTTTGTTTATACCCCACTCCATCCTCACTTCACTTTACTTCACTTTATTTCTTAATTAGTCGCTCTCCACCAAGGTGCTCCGAGCAACTTACAATTTAAAATAGCATTTCACAATATAAAAACATTCAATATAAAAACATTCAACAGTGACTATTTGGCAAATTAGATCTGATTACTTAAATGCACAACCAAACAGCCAAGTCTTGAGCGCTTTTACAAAAGCCCCCAGGGGGACTAGGTGCGGCTTACATGAGGCCACACTCATCAATATAATAAACACAGTATTACACAAAAACATAACAAAACCAAAAAATTAAATACATAAAATGCAAAAACTAATATAATAGACAACACAGCAATATAAAATCAAACATCAAAACACAGAGGAATTTCACTGGGCAGGGCCAATTCAAGAATAAAATTTGAAAACACTGGAAGATAGGGCAGTGTAAAATTGTCGTGAAGGGGGATCCGGGGATGAGGAAGGATTTAATTGCACGAACCATAAAATAAAGTTCTTCTGAGGTCATTTTGGTCAGGGAATGTCCTACATTCAACCATTGAAGGCACATTGGGATAACCAGGTTTTCAGGTTCCTCCTGAAGATTGCCAGCGTGGGGACTTGCCTACTATCACTGGGGAGTGAGTTCCAGAGCCGGGGGGCCACTACAGAGAAGGCCCCTCTCTCGTCCCCACAAGTTGCACTTGCGGTGCGGGCGGGAGTGAGAGAAGGGTCTCTCCAGAAGATCGAAGAGGTCGTGTGGGTTTGTAGACGGAAATGCGGTCGCGCAGGTAGGCAGGTCCCAAACCATTCAGAGCTTTGTAGGTCAAAACCTGCACCTTGAATTGGGCCCGGAAAATAAATGGCAACCAGTGGAACTCCTTAAACAGGAGGGTTGCCCACTCTCTGTAATTCGCACCAGTTAATAATCTGGCTCTCTCCTGTTGGACCGATTGTAATTTCCGGGCCGTCTTCAAGGGCAGCCCCACGTAGAGCGCATTGCAATAGTCCAATTTCTAAAGAATAAACACAAAGATTTTTTATATATATAATTGGGTTGCTGTGAGTTTTCTGAGCTGTATGACCATGTTCCAGAAGCATTATCTCCTGACGTGTCTATGGCCGGCATCTTCAGAGGTGTTGAGGTCTGTTGGAAACTAGGCAAGTGTGGAATGTCCAGGGTGGGAATAAGAACTCTTGTCTGTTTGAGGCAGGTGTGAATGTTGCAATTGGCTGCCTTGATTAACATTGAATAGCCTTGCAGCTTCAAAGCCTAGCTGCTTCCTGCCTGGGTATGTCCTTTGTTAGGAAATGTTAGCTGATTGTTTCCTGTCTGGAATACCCCTGTTATAATAATTTGGTACCTATAACATGAAACCCTCACAATTCCATTTAAAACTAATGGTAAGTAGCTTATTCTTTATATGCCGCTGATGGACTGCCACCTCTGTTCTAGCTCCTATGCTGAATGCATAGTATTTAGGCCTGGAAAATGGGAGGGAGGATAGTCATAGTCTGTGACTGTAAACCTGAACGCGACTGTAAAAGAGCTTGAGACCATGGACTATGTAACGGTCATAAAAAGTTATTATTGCTATAAGCATTCATAGCTGCACCTATACAGTTTGCATACTGATGAAATATGAAATCTTCACTTCTTTCCAGAAGCTCTTTGACTGTTGTATATTGTTAATAGCTTAGGCAGAATAGCAGTTTAATCATCTTGTTGAATAGTCAGTAGTCACAGTTGGACACCACAATAACCTATTGTGTGGGTGAAGGTTAGCAAATCATTCCTTTTGCAGATGGGAGTGATTGAAGAAGTCACAGAACAACGTATGTCCATGGTTTATATGTTTTGTGAATTCTGCCCCCTGCCTTGTCTCTTTTCAAGACTGAGTAGTAATCCTTGTGTCGATATATTTCACTGGTTTGTCTGATAAGAGATATGTAGAGTGTCGGGTTTCGATGTCAAAACAGACAAATCTGACTTACCAAGATATCTAAACCAGGTGCTAATTTCAAGCCTAGCTTATTAGAACTGATATTATTATTATAACTGGCTTGCATTCACAAAGCAAATCTATTCAAACAGGTATGCAGCAGAGGAGAAATAATTCAAGTGAAAGTCCTAGGCACATTGGCACTAATTGATGAGGGTGAAACAGACTGGAAGATTATTGCAATTAATGTTGAAGATCCTGATGCTGCTAAATTTAACAGTAAGTAACACCTAAGTAAGAAGATATGTTTGCTTTGCTATGAGTTATTTATTGTTGTATTGTTGTTGTTGTGGTTTTTTTGTTGTTGTTGTTTCTGATGTATTTGGGCTCGGCCTCTTGTAAGCCACACCGAGTCCTGCGGGAGATGGTAGCGGGGTATAAATAAAGTATTATTATTATTATTATTATTATTATTATTATTATTATATGTCTTTAAGTCTTGCTTCTCCTTTTTATTAAGATTCCCAGGATGGTAAAATTCAGTTGGTGTGAAGTACAGCTGACTTAATGTGATTTACGTAATATTGCGGGACATTGCTAGCGTGACCCTTGTGAAGGAGCAATTCTTTAAACTCGACTTACCCTACCTTAAGTGCACAAGTTAACTAAGTCTTGAGCAAAGCAACACTTCCTTTAGATTATTTGTGTCACTGGTAATGGTACAGACAAAGAGAGTTTCGGGCCAAATGTTTTGATTAGAGTTGTTGGAAAGGCGACCATTTAATTCCAGAAACCAGAGCAGTGGCTGTTCTTGCTCGCTAAAGCAAATGCTAGGATTTTTCAACGTAAAGATGGCTTATAATGTGGAGATCGTCTACCAAAAAACCCAGGAAAGTGTTGACTTTTTAGACTTTTTAGAGATATGGCCTGGGGCTAACTGCAGATGCATCAATAGTCGCAGATCATGGATAAGGGTTGGAGGACCACCAGGTCATGACATCTGCATATTAGGTGGTGCTTTCCTTATAAAATCTGTGTATTTTAATACGTATTTTATAGAAATTCATATATTTATAGAATTTTAATAATGTTTTTGTGTTTTAATTATGCTATATATATTATATGTCTTGCCCACCTCAAGCCACTAGAAGAGGTGGGTAAGACGTACAATAATAATAATCTATATAAATAAAAATGTAATGTTTGTTTGTGGGATTAACATAACTCAAAAACCACTGGACGAGTTGACATCCAATTTGGACACAGTACATCAACTAAACCAATTTATGTCCTTCACTCAAAAAGACAAAAAAAAATTAACCAGAAAGAACTTAAAAACCCCCAAAACAAGAATAGTAACAGTGCATGTGCAAATGTCCCCTTCCCCCCACACGAAGGAAAAACAATGCTCCAACTATACATTGCAAGCTGGCAATCCCTGCTGGCACCGAGTGAGGCTTAGCCATGGGTTCAGGCTGCGACTTAAACACAAACAGTAGAACAGATGCAGTTTGGCCCCACTTTTAACTCAGTGTGATGGGGTCCTGGGAGCTGTATTTTCATGTGGCCTTGCTGAAGCCATCTCTGCCAAGGAGGAGTGGTGCCCCGCCAAACTACGGATCCCAGAATCCCACAGCATTGAGCCGTGCTTTTGGTCCTGCCCTTCTCCTACACGCCAGGGCGTCGCGTGGTCCCTCCTAACCTCCCTCCCAGTCTCTGTCCTCTGTTGGCTTCACCAAACAGGGACCCTTCTTCCTTTTTCCCTGGTGAGGCAGGCAGGTGGCTGCTCCACGCGGGCATTGTTTGTCAGACTTTGCCTTCTCTTGCATGGGCACCAATGTGAAGGGAGCTTTGCAGCCCTCAGCCTTGCTGGCCCTTCAGGAGCTGGGAGGCATTTTTCGAGGTGGGCCTTGCTTAGCCAGCACTGGCCCCTTCTTTCTGCCTTTCATGTAACCCCGCCTGTGTGCCCAACCAGCAAACAGGTAGGAAGGTGCCACACAGCCATGGCAGAAAGAAGAAGGGGCAGCGCTGGGTGAGCGAGGCCTCCCTCGAAAAGCACGTCCCGCCTGCCCTGCGCCCGGCCCAGCAAGGCTGAGGGCTGCGAGGCTCCCTTCCTGCCTGTGCCCCAGGCAAGAAGTAGAGAAGGGAAAGAGGGAGAGAAGAAAGGAGAGAAAGAAAGAGGGCAGGAAAGAAAGTAGGAAAGAGAGAAGGAAGGATGGAAGCAAAGAGCAAAGGAAGGAAAGGAAGAAGGAAGAAAGGAGAGAAAGAAGAAAAAGAAAAGAGAGAAGGAAAGGACAAAAGAAAGGAATGAAGGAAAGAGGGAGATAAGGAAGAAAGGTGAGAGAAAAAGAGGGAGGAAAGGTTGGCCACTGCAATGCGTGGTGGGTATAGCTAGCAATAATAATAATAATAACAACAACAACAACAATAGCATTTTGACTTATTCTTCACAGTGTGTAAATTATTATTTGGCCTTCCAGCTGAAGAAATGTTTGTGGCCGTCAATTTTGTTTAAGGTTCTCAAGCTTTGCATTGGGTTAACTGAGAAAAGCATTGTATTAAGTAAGTTGTAGATGTTGCCTGCCATAACAGAGAAATGAAGCATACATCTCTGTTCTGGTATGTATCTATTTCTTATAGACAGTTCTCTAGACTTCTATTGCATATTTCATGGAAGCTTTTAGAGCAGTGGTTCTCAACCTGTGGGTCCCTAGGTGTTTTGGCGTACAACTCCCAGAAATCCCAGCCAGTTTTCCAGCTGTTAGGATTTCTGGGAGTTGAAGGCCAAAACATCTGGGGACCCACAGGTTGAGAACCACCGATCTAAAGGAAAGGCAGATGTGGTTAGAGTTCTGCCTGCTCGCATTTGTTTGTGTGTTGGTAATATATAGATCAAACTCTGATTAGATTCTGAACATTTTTTTTCTTCTTTTATGTAATTAAGATATTGATGATGTCAGGAAGATTAAACCTGGATACCTGGAGGCTACAGTGGACTGGTTTAGAAAATACAAAGTACCTGACGGGAAGCCGGAAAACCAGTTTGCATTTAATGGAGAATTTAAAGACAGGGTATGTGCCTATCTTTGCTAATAGTTCTCCATGTTTATTATTGTTTATGCATATTTTAAACAATATGAATGACATACGCTAAGCAATTGGAAGCATAAACAACGTATCTGCTGTTTCCATCATCCCTGCTAATATTGGGGGAAGCCAGAGACATTCATGCTTACTCTGTGGTATCAGTTGCTCAGAGAGAGCATTTTTTGTATAAGTTATTGACCTATTAACTCAATCAAAATGTCCTGATATTCAGTCTAGGCTAGGCATAGCTAGCTGAAGAAAACATAAAGAGGGGGAGGAGGGCAAATTTTGTCCTTGCATGACAACATGTGACATTGTGTTACTTTTAGTTTTGATTTTGGCATTTATTTATTTATTTATTTCGGGTTTTTATATCCCGTCCTATCTTAACCTCCGCAGAGGGACTTAGGACGGCCTTTTTTTGTTGTTATTGTTGGTGGGGAGGGGGGAACCACTGCAGTTTGAACCACTATAGCATGTTTAATGTTGAAAATCATCTCAAAATAAGCCTTGGGCTTATTGTGTTAACTGTCATTAGCAGTAGCCAGCACAGCCATGAGTAAAGAATGCTAGGAGCTGCAGTACAACTCCTGGATGATCATACGATTCCCATTCTGTCCCCCATATTGATATTTCCATGTGTAAATAAATAGTCCTTTGTATTGTCAAAGGCTTTCATGGCTGGAATCACTGGGTTGTTGTAAGTTTTTCAAGGTGTATGACCATGTTCCAGAAGCGTTCTCTCCTGACGTTTCACCCACATATATGGTTGAAGGGTCTGTTGGAAAATAGGAAAATTGGGTTGATATATATGTCCGGGGTGGGAGAAAGAACTCTTGTATGTTAGAGGTAGGTGTGAATGTTTAAATAGTCCTTTGCATGGGTATCATCATGGCTGGAAATGGATCAGTGGGTGAAGTTTGTATTGCTGGCCTTTGATCCTTTGCTCACTTCTAAAGAGGCTTTTGTTTGAAAAGCCAATTGATTGGCAATGCCAGTTTAATCGTTAAAGGAGGAAGAGTTTCCACAACAAGTCAGAGTAAAAAAATATAAAAGAGGTAAATAGCAGATCATTTTAGCAACACAGTGGAAAAAAAACTGGAATGGGGCAGACTGTGATCTTCTCTAGATGTGGCCTAGGTTTTAATAAATGAAAAAAAACCATTTTACTGAACACACTGCATGGTTGCAACACAACCACCGAGGACAGGCATTGAACTTGTTTTCTTTTCTAAATGTTAGGACTTTGCCATTGATGTTATCAAAAGCACACATGAATTTTGGAAGGCGCTAGTAACTAAAAACACAGATGGAGGAGAGATTTGCTGGTAAGTTAGCATTGCTTTCAGTGCTACTGCTTTCAAAGAAACAATCTTTTCTCAATCATGGAAATACAAATATTAGGTATAGTAACACTATGTAACAAAATTTGAGAGTGTTATTTCTGTTTAATTGTGCAGTTCCGTATTTTCTGGCATATAAGACTACTTTTTAACCCAAGAAAACCTTCACAAAAGTCATGGGTCGTCTTATACGCTGGGAGTCATCTTATAGAGCGGATGCTGAAACTTCCAATATGGATTGGAGAATCTGTGGTTGCTGCATATTGTGGGGGGAGCTAAAAAATGGCAGTGGCTGCATCCCTGCCATATGCAGCAACTGTATGAAAGCATTAAGGATGACGCTGTACAAGTACGGTAGAAGAAAATCCATTCATCAGGATTCGTGGACTTAATGCGGTCCCGATGGTGAGGTGAAGGGGCGCCTCACCGGGAAGGTGTAAGTGAAGGGCGGAGCAAGCTGCAGGCATCCGGGGTGCCCGTGATATGGAAAAAAGAGATAGAGTGGCTCTGGGCCCAGAAAAACACAATTCTTTTACCTGTCTGGCCTGCCCTTGTATCCTATTACCGTACCTCCTCCTCTGCCTCTCAGATCCCGCTCCTGAAGACTGCAGTGGTGCAGGTGCACATGTGCAAGATCTGAGAGACAGAGAAGGAGGTACAGTAATAGGAAAATTACCGTATTGAAATGAAATCTGATGCTTTTTAAATTTTTATTTGGTGTGCGTTGGAAGAGGGGTAGTCTTATGCGGTGAGTATATCCCAAACTATATTTTAACTGGAAAAGTTGGTCGTCTTATATGCCCAGTCGTCTTATATGCCAGAAAATCCGGTACTTACTTTGAGGGACCCCTGGTGGCACAGTGGGTTAAACAGCTGAGCTGCTGAACTTCCTGACTAGAAGGTTGGCGGTTTGAATCTGGGAAGTGGGGTGAGCTCCCACTGTTAGGCCCAGCTTCTGCCAACCTAGCAGTTTTACAGCATGCAAATGTGGGTAGATCAATAGTACCATTTCTCCGGGAAAGTAATGGTGCTCCATGCAGTCATGCTGGCCACATAACCTTGGAGGAGTCTATGAACAACGCTGGCTCTTCAGCTTCGAAATAGAGATGAGCACCACCTCCAAGAGTCAGACACGACTAGACTTAATGTCAGGGGAAAGAAACCTTTGCCTTTGCTTACTTTGAAAGTAGTTGTTATACTCCAGAAACTTTGTTTTTATTTTTGCCATAAACTTTGTTGAATTCGGTTGAGACTCGATGAGATATTCATTGAAAAACTATAGTAAAATGTGCTCCAAGATGTCTTTGCAGTTTAATAAACATCTTCCATGTTTTATGACATCTAGGAAATGACATTTATAACTCAGGAACAAAAATTGTGTTACATAATGTAATTAATGCAGCATCTTCACCAATTGTTAAGTCAAAGACACACTTATCTAAAATATATCCACACCAGAGTGTGTCTTAAGATTTTTAGATTCAATGGACTGGTGGAAAGCATGGCTAATTTTGTAACTGAACTTCCTCTTCCAGCACAAATACAACTTTGGCGGACAGCTCCTTCTGTTGCAGTCAAACATCTGCTGCATCAACTGTGACATCGGTAAGCAGATCCAACTAACTCTGTGCCCCTGATACATTGAGTTATTATGGCGCAGTGGGTTAAACCCCTGTGCCGGCAGGACTGAAGACCGACAGGTCGCAGGTTCGAATCCGGGGAGAGGCAAATGAGCTCCCTCTGTCAGCTCTATCATGCGGGGACATGAGAGAAGCCTCCCACAAGGATGATAAAAACATCAAATCATCCAGGCATCCCCTGGGCAACGTTCTTGCAGACGGCCAATTCTCTCACACCAGAAGTGACTTGCAGTTTCTCAAGGCGCTTCTGAGTGACTTGCAGTTTCTCAAGTCGCTCCTGACACGACAAAAAAATATATATATTCTGAAAAGCAGAGTAGTGTACGTTATATGTTTCAATGGAGGAAGCCACCAAACATGTTAAGTTCAGAATGTAGCAGTTTCAGAATCATGATTTTGATTTGCTTTTCAAGTTCTCATTCTTTTGAGCCATGACAGGGGCAAAAACATAGATCTACTATGTACCCAAACCTTTGACTTTCAATGAAATTTCAGGAATTCTACTAGCCTCAGAGATTGCGCTTTTACATAGAACTCATTACCCTTCCTTGGAACAAGTATAAGCAGGGTATATTCGAAAAATAAATAAATCATGTACAATAAGGAAGAACTTATTATAGGTACAGAATTCAACTTCATATTTACATACATAAATGACACACACCCGTACATATTTTTTCTATGCAAAAGACTGCTTTAATAAAGTACTTACAAAGAGCTCTCCTTCTGAAATTGTGGCTCACAACTGAAAAGATATGCAAGTAATATAGGCCATAACTATTAAGTATTATTATTTTCCAGTCCCAAGCTACTATGAGTTAGAGCCGTACAATTTTGTTGACATGACAGGCAGAGCTGTGTTTCATCTTCTCAAGTTACGGTTTGTAACTTTTGACAGCCTTCCACTTTCACTGTTGCTGGGGTGCAAACCCAACATGGAAACGGGAAAACCACAAAGCAACAACAACAAAATGGAGAGAACAACTCTTTATGACATAGATGCTTCAGTAGGACTCTTGTGGTCAACTTCTGGGAGAATCAACCTAGATCAGTGGTTCTCAACCAGGTGTTTTGACCTACAACTCCCAGAAATCCCAGCCAGTTTACCAGCTGTTAGGATTTCTGGGAGTTGAAGGCCAAAACATCTGGGGACCCACAGGTTGAGAATCACTGACCTAGATATTCATCTTAAGCCAGTTTGGTGAATGTATCCTACTCACTCTTTGTACTGATTTGTGATATAGGGGCAACCTTCTATATGAATCTTGCACATTCCCTGTTTCTTTGTGCTCATATAATTCTTTTTTGTCTATTTTTTGTGTTAAAGGAAGCACACTATGTTTCACTGTTTTCTACTAACCCTAAGAGAAGCAAACCTTTCCTTTGTCATGTATGGAATAATGTGTAAACTGTAACTAGAGCCATATTCTAAAAATCACGATGAAACGAGTGTGAGAAATGGTTCCGATTTGGCTTGGAATTCATTTACAATAATCCTAGAATATTTATTTATTTACTGTGGCAAAATTCAATGCCACAGTAAATAAATAAATAAATAAAAACATTAACATCAATAAAATCATAACAATAGCAATAAAACGTAAATCGATAAATTCTCATTAAAAACATTGTCCAGTCCCATCGTATAGTAGTTCCGATTCCTATGTCCGTTACTCAATATTTGCAAATCCTTGTTCGATTAGCCATGTCTTGAGTTTTTTTCCAAAATGTTAGGAGTGAAGAAGCTGATCTGATCTCCCTTGGGAGGTTGTTCCATAGCTGAGGGGCCACCACTGAGAAGGCCCTGTCACTCGTCCCCACAGACGTACTTGAGACAAAGGCGGGACTGAGAGCAGGGCCTCCCCAGATGATCTTAAAGTCTTTGGTGGTTCATAAGGGGAGATGCGTTCGGATATTTTGGGAGACTTGGAATTAGTACCAGGAAGCATTCATATTTTGAACTTGTTTCAAAAGCTCCAGGTGAACCGTTCCATATTAAGCATCAGACAATTCTCTTCTTTATGCAGTTAGGAACAACAGGGATGATAAACGTGTAACATTCCAAAAATCTAAACTTAATTACCATTTTGTATTTGGTTGTCAAAGCTTTGATACTGAATAATAATTTTGGGGTTCTGAATTAAATAATAATTCTGTATTAAATGCTCTTCATTTTAGGCACCTGCTTGTGGGCCTGCCAATCCAACACCAGTTGAAGGTAAGGCATGGGAGCATTCTGCGTCTTAAGTAGTGTCATTGTTTAAAATGTAAAGCTTGTACTTCGTTTTCCTGGTTTCGTTTTCAAATCTAACTTAGCCCAGGGATGCAGAACCATGCAGTGTTAGAGCTCTTCAACAAGGATGAGGGAGACGACATCTTAAAGAATAACAAATCCATTGTGGCATAAATCTTTATGGACTATTACAGTGCATAGTTGTTTTCATCCAATCTAAGAAATTGTGTTTTTAATAGTTGGATGCTTGCTTTTTTGGTGTACCTGCCAAAAAGCAAACATCCATTACAATTACAGGAATTTTATTGAGAGGTGATTAGATGTCCTTGTTTGTTTCCTCTCTGTTGTTGTGCTGTTGCAATTTTAGAGTTTTTTAATACTGGTAGCCAGATTTTGTTCATTTTCATGGTTCCTCCTTTCTGTTGAAATTGTCCACAGGCTTGTGTATTTCAATGGCTTCTCTGTGTAGTCTGACATGGTGGTTGTGAGAATGGTCCAGCATTTTTGTGTTCTCAAATAAAAGGTTATGTCCAGGTTGGTTCATCAGGTGGTCTGCTATGGCTGATTTCTCTGGTTGAAGTAGTCTGCAGTGCCTTCCATGTTCCTTGATTCGTGTTTGGGCACTGCGTTTGGTGGTCCCTATGTAGACTTGTCCACAGCTGCATGGTATACGGTAGACTCCTGCACAACAACAGAGAGGAAACAAACAAGGACATCTAATCACCTCTCAACAAAAGTTTGCTCCAGGCACTGTCAGGCCATTATATGCTAATCAAGGTGATCAGTTGCAACATTCACACTTAGCTCCAGCAGACAAGAGTCCTTTGTCTCACCCTGGTCATTCCACAGATATATAAACCCTTTTTCCTAGTTCCAACAGACCTCACTACCTCTGAGGATGCTTGCCATAGATGCAGGCGAAACGTCAGGAGAGAATGCCTCTAGACCATGGCCATATAGCCCGAAAAAACTACAACAACCCAATAAATTTCCATTTATTTTTCTAGTAAATGTCGGTTTACTTGAGGCTATAGGGAACACAGCTTTTAAGTGCTGCCTTACTGCTTCAGCAGCAAAACCAGGAATATATTAAACATAATCTATTAAACATAATATATGAATATGGAACAGCTGAATGATGCAAATGGACATGGATTTAAACCTGGAAGTCAATGATTTTTATAGTTTTAAATTGTTTTACTATGAATTTAATTATGTGATTTAACCTGTTTTAAACTATGTATTTATGTGTGCTCGGCATCTAATTGTTGCCAGTCGGTACACCGCCCTGAGTTGCCTTCGGGCTGAAAAGGGCGGGATAAAAGTGTGGTAAATAATATAAATAAATAAAAACAATATATTGACCATGAATAAGCTACTTCAAATTATCATGGTAGCAAACTGTATTGTGATGAATTTTAGTGCATTATGTAATAATGAAATGTTCTCTGTCTCTCTTTTCTTTCCAACCCAAGTGGACAAATGGTTTTACTGCTAGAAGTAGTGAATTCGAATAAAATGCAAAGATGCTGCAGTAGCTGCTGTGTTGATCACCAGGAAAAGCCTATGGAGAACTAGACGAAAACCTGGGAACACCCGTTGCCAGAAGAATCCTGTTTTCAAATTAGTAAATGACCTATTTTGACAGATTTTACAGACTTGCCCATAATGTGTGCTCAAAACCTATAAAGAGCATACATAATCTGAGCTTTTCTTGTGTGAAATACCAGTTTACCAGTCTTCAAATATACTTGTATATCATGGCATTCACTGTTATGTAAGGAAATTGTGCATAGACAGTCTTATTTTGTGGCTTCCTGGATAAAAGAAACATTTTTGCTGCAAAACTCATTCAAGTGTCTTGGTGTTCTTCATTTTAAAATCCAAATATTCTCATTCAGCTATAAACAAACTAAAACAAAAGAATAATTGAGAGGTGAGGGGGAAACAGGCCAGAACCTTGTGGTCATAATCATTATTGTCCTCTTTACCTTTCATGTTGGATCCCCCGGTGGTGCAGTGGGTTGAACCCCTGTGCCGACAGGACTGAAGACTGAGAGGTCGCGGGTTCGAATCCAGGGAGAGGCGGATGAGCTCCCTCTATCAGCTCCAGCTCCTCATGCGGGGACATGAGAGAAGCCTCCCACAAGGATGATAAAAACATCAAAATCATCCAGGCGTCCCCTGGGCAACGTCCTTGCAGACGGCAAATTCTTTCACACCAGAAGCAACTTGCGATTTTTCAAGTCACTCCTGACATGACAAAAAGTTTAAGAATTTGAAATATTTGACAAAGTCAGCACACATCATAATATCATTATGGTAGGGCTGCTAATTGGGGCTGCAATGGTGCAACAGGTTAAACCACTGAGTTGCGAAACTTGCTGATCAAAAGGTTGGCAGTTCAAATCTGCGTAGTGGGGTGAGCTCCCGTAATTAGCCCCAGCTTCTGCAAATCTAGCAGTTTGAAAAAACGCAAATGTGATTAGATGAATATGTACCTCTCCAGTGGGAAGGTAAAGTGCTCCATGCAGTCATGCTGGCCACATAACCTAGGAAATGTCTACAGACAACACCGGCTCTTCGGCTTAGAAATTGAGATGATCCCCCCGAGTTGGATTCAACTAGACTTAATGTTAAAGAGAATCTTTACCTTTTCCAGTTTAAGGCTGATAATTAAATGCAGTACACCACTGGACTACAACTCCTGTACTCTCCATCATTAGACATTAGGACTAGAGGTGATGGGAGTTTGGATAGAGTAACATCTGAAAGGCTGCAGTTTGCTCTGCGTAGCTAAGATAATAAATAATAATAATAATTATTAATAATAATAATAATAATAACTTTATTTATATACTGCCTTATCTCCCCTAAGGGGACTCAGAGCGGTTTCCTCATATGCAAAATAATACAAAAACATACAATACAAAACAAAAACATAGGCATAAACTGTTAACACAACATATACATTAAAATCAATTTAAAACCATTTCGCTCTCTTCTTCATGCAAGGTAAGCTGCCAGGGCAAAGATTTCAATAAGGGGCCTGGACTATTTGGAACGGGCTGGGCCAAGGCTAGTGGCGATTTGAATGCAATATTCCTGCTTCTTGGCAGGGGGTTGGACTGGATGGCTCATGAGGTCTCTTCCAACTCTTTGATTCTATGATTCTAGTGCAAGGAGAAGGGGAAAATGGGGCTGGCTGAATGCTACAGTGCAAGGATTGGTCTCAGCAACGGCCCTACTAGGGACCGGTGCAACTCAAGGAGGGTACAGGATCTCCTTGCTAGTAATATAAGGAAATGGAAGTATACTGAAAACCTCTAAAAGAAGATGACCTACTGGTCTATGTATGCCAAATCTCTCACTTCAATATCTAACATGGCTGGTGTTATCAACCAATTGCCTTGCTTCAAACTGTTCACAGGAGCAGCCTGCAGTTCCTTCCACAAACTAATGGCAAAAGCAAATACAGTTCTGGCATACTGAATATCCTTCCAGATCAAGGTTTCCCGAGAAAGATCCGAAGCCTCAAAGAGGTTCTCTAAGATCACTTCCCTGATCATGTCATGCCAGGAAAACTTGTCAAAGTCAAAGACGCTAAGGTGGAGCTTCCTGTCAGCCAGCTCTTCATATGGCACAGGAAACTGAAAGGATTGAGAGTTTTCCTATGTACATGTGTTTGGAACTTGCGCTTCCTGTCTGGCAAGATCTTGACATAAGGGTCCGAACTGCCACAGAGGTCCTTGGCCGGTAAGTCAAAAGCCTTGATGATCCGCACAATCAAGGTCTCAATCTCATAGTCTTATTTCAAAGCAAAATTTATTTTTCCACAAGTTTTTTTCTGCCTCTTTCTTTGGATCCTCAGATTTCACAGATTTCTGTTTGTACAGCTCTGGTTTGATCCAACCAATGCAAGTCGGCTGCTTGGCTTCGAGTGGTAGTTCTGTACCATAGTCCAAGCTGGAAATGTGCATCTGCCGGGGTAGGTGCTTTTTGAAAGAAATGTGCCTGGTTGATGATGCAGGCTCTGTTGTTTGCCACTGTATCTGTGTGCGCCTCGTGAGATGGTCTTTCATTGACATCTGGACCTCTGCTGGAATATCTGGGGATGTGTGACAGATTTTCATAGCTAGTGTTTAGCTAAAGTGTGTTGATATGAAATGTCCTTTATTTTTTTTAATTTTATTTAAGTAAACATACATTCGCAAGTGTTTGTTGCATACAGTGCAATACTTTCTATCTATTAATGCTCTATAATCATTTATCTGATAATATATTTCTATTAAGGGGTCACAGTCTACTATCTAAATAATACATAAAAAGATATCATAGATTCTTACGTTACATCCACTTCTTCCTTGTCCCCAGTCTTATAGGATCCTCTATATACATTTTTAATTTAACTTTACATTAAGGTGTTGAATCATTGGTTGCCATTCATTAATGAAGTTGTCTAATATTTCTCTTCTTAATAATAGTTATTTTGTCCATTATCAACATATCTATAATATATTTTTCCCATTCTTCTAAAAGAGGTATATCTGGGGTTTTCCAATATCTAGCATATACTTTTCTAGCTGCCACTGTTGTGTAAAACAAAAAAATTCCAAATTTTCTTTCTAATTCTTCCTCGGGCATATTCAAAAGGTACATTTGAGGTGTCATTTTGAAATTTGTGTTTTAACATTTTTTCAAGATATACATGGATCTGTTTCCAGTAATTTTTTACTTTGCTGCAAGTCCACCATGTGTGGTAGAATGTACCTTTTTCTTTCCCGCATTTCCAACATTTGTTGGAGCAAATATACATCTTAGCTAGTCTCTCTGGAGAGAGATACCATCTCAGGTGCATTTTATAAACATTTTCCTTTAGGTTTTGACATGCAGTGTATTTCTTTCTTCTCTTGCATGTCTTTTCCCACTGGGACATTTTTATCTCTTGGCCTATATTTTGGGCCCATCTAACCATAGAATCTTTTACTATTTCCTCTTCTGTGTGCCAAGTCAGTACATTTTTGTATATATATGATATAAGACCTTTTGGTTTCTGAAACATTGCCACATCAAACCATGTTTTCGCTGTCTGGAAGCCTGAGGTTCTAAGTTGTTCTTTAAATTTCTCTCCAACAAAGAGAGAAATCAATACCTCGGCCTATTCATCATACAGAATACTCACTGGGATCCCCATATCAAAACTACATTCTTAATGGCTGGCCAGAATGCTAAGATAACACACCAAACAGCCCTTTTCCTTTATAAAGCAACGCAACTGAGATCTGCGTATCTGGAGGCGATTGGGGTAAACTGTAGGGGTGATGCAGATATCTGAAGTGGCTTGGGATTGTGTAATAGCTGGTCTATTTTAACCTTCATTTTAACCTTCGTTTTTAATTTTTGTGGTATGAAATTTTATCTTGACATTTTAATGATGATATTTTTAGTTATCTTTTAACCTAATCATGTTTGAATGTGTGTTGGTTCGCTGTTGTGGGGGTCTTGGGATGGTGATTGTCGTCTGTGCACGTTTCTGCGTTTGTTTTTAATGTTGATGTGGTCAATAGACTATTTAATAAACTTTGCTTGCTTGCTTGCTTTAAATTTCTCTTGCAATTGTCTATGCAGAAGCCAATTGCATTTAAGGCCCTTTTGGTTCAATTCTTCTAGGGATTTCATTTCTGGTTTTTCTAAATCAGTCTGGATCAGTTCCCTGTAGGTTAGCCATTTCCCTTGGAGGATATTCTCCTTTTTATAATATGCCTCATGTGTAAATTCTGTTTTTATATCTGTTCCAGGTATTTAGAATTGGCCTCCGTATATAATGATCATTAAATATGCCTATTGGTTTGGCCTTTTTTACATCCAAATATGCATGCCGTCCGAATGGAAGATTTAGGCCTTCTAAATCGAGTAACCTACGAATGTGAGAGCTGGACCTTAGGGAAGGCTGAGCGAAAGAAGATAGATGCTTTTGAACTGTGGTGTTGGAGGAAAGTTCTGAGAGTGCCTTGGACTGCGAGAAGATCCAACCAGTCCATCCTCCAGGAAATAAAGCCCGACTGCTCATTGGAGGGAAGGATACTAGAGAGAAAGTTGAAGTACTTTGGCCACATCATGAGGAGACAGCAAAGCCTAGAGAAGACAATTATCCTGGGGAAAGTGGAAGGTAAAAGGAAGAGGGGCCGACCAAGGGCAAGATGGATGGATGGCATCCTTGAAGTGACTGGACTGACCTGGAAGGAGCTGGGGGTGGTGACGGCCGACAGGGAGCTCTGGCGTGGGCTGGTCCATGAGGTCACGAAGAGTCGGAGACGACTGAACGAATGAACAACGACAACAAATCGAGTAGTTCATTGCCTTCTAAGGTCACCCATTCTTGAAATGTCCTTTAACCTTTTCCCAACCTTAGAGCCACAAGTGCTGTTGAGCTGCAATTCCCATTATCCCCAGCCTGCATGGCAGATAATCAAAACTGAAGGGAGTCATCGTTCAGTAACATCTGGGGATTCAAATTGGGTAAAAATAAGAGCACCAACCACTATGTAAAAAAAAAATTAAAGTTGTAACTGTATCCCTGGATTCTCCATCCATGGATTCAATGATCCTTTGAAGGCAACTGTAAGGTTAATGTGGTCCTTAATGAAAATGGGTTTGACACTCCTGGCCTGATGTATGTATGTATGTATGTATGTATGTATGCATTTTACAGTATTTATATTCTGCCCTTCTCACCCCGCAGGGGACTCAGGGCGAATTACAGTGTACATATTCATTGCAAACATTCAATGTCACACACACACAACATATATTTTAAAATAATGGCTTTAATTGTCATTTTAAAGTATACGGGAGGAAAAGTGTGCTCCCAATAAAATATACATCATACCAGTGAGGCTGGCAAAAGGTTGAGGGTAATCTCAAAGGTTTGACAACAGAACATCTGTACATGACAACGAGGGAAAAAAGCAATCCCTTTGAAACTCAACAAAAAAGCGAAAGGAAAGGCATTCACAGTGGTCTCTACAAACAATATTAACCTGACAGCAATACGTTTCCTAGCCTTGGAGCACACTAGTGTTGTGTGAGGTCCTAAAAAGAAAAGCAGGCATCACACACCACCCGGCGTCAGCGGTACAGATACCCCAAATGGCAGGAGAAGGGGCTGTGGAGTCTACAGCTGGGACATAGAGAAGGAAAAGGGTCACACCATTGCTCTCCAAACAAATAGTTTTTTTAAATAACTCTTTTCGAGAAGCGAGAGCCTCCTTTGCTGTGACAACCAGCCAAAGCCATCCATTAAAATGAACAGAAAAACCACAAACACATTTAAATCTAGTCTTAGCAAGCTGACCAATACATGTTACCGTTTCTTTTCAAAAAATTGAGATTATATACTATAGTATAAGTCCCAACTAGGCCGGGCCAGGAGTGATTATTTCTTTGCTTGTTTCGGGATCATCCCCCGGGGGGGTGTTACAGGTCGGCTAGCGTTGGGCTTCTTCTTCTCGGCAGGCTTCAAGATCTGAAAGGAGCACATCAAAGTCTCATCCACACTCATCATGGCGCCTGCATTGTCAAACTCCCCGCAGTAATTGGGAGCAGAAAACAGGGTGACCAGCTGCCTTTTTGCAAAGAACTCATAGCCATCTTCAACCACCTGATGAGCTCTGCATATCAGATCCAAATCATGTTTGTGTAGGAACTTTGCGACAACTTCAGCTCCAAAGGTGAAAGACACCCCTCTGTCATTTTCACCCCATCCAAGCACGTCCTTATCTGGATCAGACCACAGCAGATCACAGAGAAGGCCTTGATCGGGCACATCAGTAGGGCGCATAATGCGTCGAATCTGTTCCATGGACTGGAGGTCTGGCGATAAGCCTCCATGGCAGCAAAATATTTTCTCATCCACAATGGCTGCAATTGGTAAACAATTAAAGCAGTCTGTAAAGGTTTTCCACAGCTTGATGTTGTATCTTCTTTTACATTCATCATAAAAGCCATAAATTCTATTAATGCTAGCGCATTCATGGTTCCCTCTGAGGAGGAAAAAATTTTCAGGGTATTTTATCTTGTAGGCCATTAAGAGGCAAATGGTTTCCAAGGACTGGTTCCCTCGATCGACATAATCACCAAGAAACAGGTAATTGCTTTCTGGTGGAAATCCCCCATATTCAAAGAGGCGAAGTAAGTCATAGTACTGTCCGTGGATGTCACCACATATTTTCAGCGGTGCTTCAAGCTCCAACAGAATGGGCTGACTGAGGAAGATCTCTCGAGACTTCAAGCACAGCCCTCTGATTTCGTTTTCTTGAAGTTGGACATTTTTGCCAGGTTTCGATCCTCTCACCTCCAGCAGCCGTTGTATGATGCTCTCTAAGTTGAGCTTGTCGATATCCGCCATCGCCGAGAGAGTCTCTCAGGCTCAAACTTTCCCTTCCTTTCCCAAGATGGGCCTTTTCCTCACTCCTTCTCTCCTCCGCCCGTCCTGCTTATAAAGGGCTTCCGGCAGCAGCAGCAGCAGTGGCGGACAAGATGGCTGCCTTCCCTCCTCCCCCCTCCCTCCCCTGAGTTCTCTCCTTTTCACACAACATATATAGACAGACACATAGAGGCAATTTAACATTCCTGCTTTTCTTGAGGGTATTCTGGTCACCAGGGGAGCTGTTGCTTCACCATCCATTTGTGACACTGATGAAGTACTGCCTCATTCTTTGCATGGCCTTGTATTTTTATGGCCTCGTAAATTAGTTAAATTAGCCTCCCCGCATAAGCGGTGGAGGGGACGTGGTTTTAAAAAGGGAATTTTCATATATTTCCCCAATGCCCATATGTCATGATTTACTGCCATATTGGCCTATTTCTGCAGTAGGCCTTTGTTCACAGAAAATGCTGATTGTTTGAGAAATCAGTGCTCCAAAGAAGAAGTTACTATTCAAGGGTAACAACATATCCGGACAAAACCAGCTAGCTGTTTGCTAGATAGAACCCCCAAGTTTCCCAGTCGCTCTGAAGCCATGTTTGCAACAGACTAACAGATAAGATACACTCAGTTCTTGTGGGTTTTTTCGGGCTATATGGCCATGTTCTAGAAGCATTTCTCCTGACGTTTCACCTGCATCTATGGCAAGCATCCTCAGAGGTGAGGTCTGTTGGGACTGGGAAAAAGGGGTTTATATATCTGTGGAATGACTAGGGTGAGACAAAGGACTTTTGTCAGTTGGGCTAGGTGTGGATATTTCAACTGACCACCTTGATTAGCATACAATGGACTGACTGTGCCTGGAGCAAACTCTTCTTGAAAGGTAATTAGATGTCCCTGCCTGTTTCCTCTCTGCTGTTTTTGCTGTTGCAATTTTAGAATTTTTTAATACTGGTAGCCAGATTTTGTTCATTTTCCTGGTTTCTTCCTTTCTGTTGAAATTGTCCACATGCTTGTGGATTTCAATGGCTTCTCTGTGTAGTCTGACGTGGTGGTTGTGAGAGTGGTCCAGCACTTCTGTGTTCTCCAATAATATGCTGTGTCCAGGTTGGTTCATCAGGTGCTCTGCTATGGCTGACTTCTCTGGTTGAAGTAGTCTGCAGTGCCTTTCATGTTCCTTGATTCGTGTTTGGGCAATGCTGCATTTGGTGGTCCCTATGTAGACTTGTTCACAGCTGCATGGTATACGGTAGACTCCTGCAGAAGTGAGAGGATCCCTCTTGTCCTTTGCTGAACGTAGCATTTGTTGGATTTTCTTGGTGGGTCTGTAGATAGTTTGTATGTTGTGTTTCCTCATCAGCTTCCCTATGCGGTCAGTGGTTCCCTTGATGTATGGCAAGGAACACTTAAGATACAGTCATGGTCAGAGAACAATGGACCATAGTTATGTTATAGTGCCATTGTTAGGATCCCACGTGTGCTATAATGTCAATCAAAATCATAAACAACTAATGAACAACTGCATAACTAACTTAGACCAATGAAATGATTGGTCTTTGGGAACCAATGAGATGATTGATTTCTATGTACCAATCAAACTGTTTTAATGAAAGTCATAAATAATCAATGCAACCAACTTTAGGTTGGACAAACCCCTTTATTGCATTCCTATATGCATGTTTGTCACTATTGCTTCAGCTGCGCAATAAATAGCATTTTGCAGTTTTAAAGATTCAACTTTCGTGGTGTCCTTCCTCGCCCTCCTTGGGAAGGGGCAATCTGCTCTTGGATTTTGGATTTGTGGATTATCTTGATCGTTTTTGCCCCTACAGCGGTACCTACATTTCCTACTTGACAGATATTTATTTATTTATTTACTTATTTATCGTGTCATCAACCACCATGCCATTGTATTACATTTCTAACAGAACAAAACAAACACACAGATTAAAAAACAACAACACAGATTTTGCAAACTTGGTAGTTGATTAAATGTCCTTTGACCAGTATCTGGCCACTTGGAGTGCCTCTGGTGTTGCTGCAAGAAGGTCCTCCATTGTGCATGTGGCAGGGCTCAGGTTGCATTGCAGCAGGTGCTCAGTGGTTTGCTCTTCTCCACACTCGCATGTCGTGGATTCAACTTTGTAGCCCCATTTCTTAAGATTGGCTCTGCATCTCGTGGTGCCAGAGCGCAGTCTGTTCAGCGCCTTCCAAGTCGCCCAGTCTTCTGTGTGCCCAGGGGGGAGTCTCTCATCTGGTATCACCCATGGATTGAGGCTCTGGGTTTGGGCCTGCCACTTTTGGACTCTCGCTTGCTGAGGTGTTCCAGCGAGTGTCTCTGTAGATCAGAAAACTATTTCTTGATTTAAGTCGTTGACGTGCTGGCTGATACCCAAACAGGGGATGAGCTGGAGATGTCTCTGCCTTGGTCCTTCCACTATTGGCTGCTACTTCCCGGCGGATGTCAGGTGGTGCAATACCGGCTAAGCAGTGTAATTTCTCCAGTGGTGTAGGGCGCAGACACCCCGTGATAATGCGGCATGTCTCAGTAAGAGCCACATCTACTGTTTTAGTGTGGTGAGATGTGTTCCACACTGGGCATGCGTACTCAGCAGCAGAGTAGCATAGCGCAAGGGCAGATGTCTTCACTGTGTCTGGTTGTGATCCCCAGGTTGTGCCAGTCAGCTTTTGTATGATATTGTTTCTAGCACCCACTTTTTGCTTGATGTTCAGGCAGTGCTTCTTGTAGGTAAGAGCCCGGTCCAGAGTGACTCCCAGGTATTTGGGTGCGCTGCAATGCTCCAGTGGGATTCCTTCCCAGGTGATAATCCTCAGAGCTCGGGATGCTTGTCTGTTCTTGAGATGAAAGGCACATGTCTGTGTTTTAGATGGGTTGGGGATCAGCTGGTTTCCCCTGTAATAGGCAGTAAGAGCACCTAGAGCTTCGGAAAGTTTCTGTTCTACCATCTCAAAGCTCCCTGCTTGAGCAGTAATGGCACGGTGATCAGCATAGACACTGTGACACTGATGAAGTACTTCCTCATTCTTTGCATGCATGCTGGAGATTTTTATGGCCTCGTAAATTAGCTAAATTAACTAAATTAGCCTCCCCGCATAAGCGGTACCTACATTTCCTACTTGACAGATGCAACTGTCTTTTGGGCTGCAAAAGGTGACAGCAAACTACACAAAATTGGTCGGAAGCTCACTCTGACCTAGGCTGGCTTCGAACTCATGACATTTCAGTCAGTAGTGATCTTAATGCAGCTGATTCCCAGCCAGCTGCGCCAAGTCCCAGTGCACACTACTGCATTCCTGGAAGCCAAAAATATATGAATTCAAAACAATACAAAATAAACAAAATAAATTAATTATTTAATACTTTAAAAACACACCTCACACTCTATTAGCTACTTCAGACTCTTAGACACAACACTAATTAATTCCTAAACCTGACTGGCTGATTCTCCCAACCCTAATCCTCAGTTCACTCATTCCTCCACCCACAGTCTCAACACTTTGATGATCTCATCCCAACGGTCATTCAACAAATTCATTCAAATCCCCTTATATATTCCACAAATCACCACTCATTCTCGACATCCCATTCTCTCTCCCCTTCCCGACAACTCTGCCTAAACAAATTTGACAGCATTTAGTCCCTGAAGTCCATGACATCATAAGTATGTTTTCTCCTTCCCATCCATTCAGAAGGTTGCGACCCTTTTGTTTGGGATTAGAAACCATCAACTTGATTACTGCAGGTTTTGATCAATGGAGCTGTCATTGATCATTGCTCAAGATGGGTGTGGATTCAGATCTTGGGAAACCAGGGCAAACCAGTTTGGCCTGGAAGTGCCTCCACTTAGTGGATTGCAGACAGATACCCTGCTTGTAGTGGAATTACCCATGCGTCTGCCCTGTACTCTTTACATATGAATTATTCTCTGTCCAAAGTAATGAGGGAAACATTGCAATTCAGAGGATGGTGTCCATAAAGGCATAGACAATAGGGCAGGAGTTCTGCAATGTTTCCCGTAAAATCAGGAGGCACAACAGTAGCAATGCCGAACAAAGCCTCCGTCCCACACTTCCGTTCTTGGCTGAGATTACTACGAAAAAGGCATGGCTTTCCAACTCCTATTTCTTTGTTTGTCTAACGTTTGTTTATCGATTTCTTGGCTGAGTTAGTTAGAATCAACCATTTTAATCAATTGGGCTGCCAATGTAAACAACAATGTTGTCTAGTATGTAGGTCATAATCAGTATTCTGCTTAAGATTCTCTTAAGCTTTCATCTCCCAGGAAATTTATTTCAGAGGAGAACTAATATGAGAAAATGTATGGATAAATATAAATATGAGATCAAGTGTGGCATAGTGGTTTGAATCCTGGGTTGAAATCACTGCCCTTGTATGTAACCCGAGTCTCTTACCCTCAACCTCAGAAAACACTCTAATAATTTTTCCTTAGGGTTGCTCTAAGTAGGTAACAACGACAACATAAAATGCAGCTTTGTAATTTGTATTTTTGTTATAAAACTAGCTTACGCAGCTACATATGCTTTGGGGAGGATCATCCTATTGCAGGCATTTTCGGTCTCGGCAGATTCTCTTATAAAACATTTTTTAGGGTGCAAACTTTTTAAAACTTTACATACAGTAAGCATAGTGCTTTCTTCGACATTTCATGGTCTAGACATCTTGTGTATATTGTGTCTTATAATAAACATTGCAGTGGTAGACAACATCAGCTTACATGCCATGTTTCTATTATAGGAGCATCACACACCTCACATCGCATCTGTTGAAAGAAACTGCACATTTTAGACAAGCATTTCAATACATTTCATCATTTGATCTTTCAGCACTTAAATTCATTGCATTGATAGCATGGTATTGTTCACGAGTAAACAATGTTAAGGTGGCATCACTATAAATAAAAATGTAATGTTTGTTTGTGGGATTAACAGAACTCAAAAAC